ATTCATTTTTGTTCATTTTATTTACGCAAGTAGATGATACTCTGAGGTAGACGCAGAACCCCATCGATGTCCGTGGAGGCTACTGTTGATGGCGCGATGCGTAAATCGATTCCCGCTCTACTCTCAGGCGGAATGTGCGGTTATATGCACAGTTCGGAGGCATCGACTAGCTGCTCATTCCTCTCATGAAAATCACTGGTGTGCGTGCCAAATCGCTTTTAAATCACACCACTGAGGGCATTTTTACTTCCTTTTTCATTATCGAACCGTAGACTACTCCCCATTCACTACGAGAACCTACTCTGTTTCAAGTGGTTACTCCGTGGAATTTCTGCATTGCTCTCGGACTGAACATGCGTGGTGTTTTTGCACATTATCAAATACCCAGCTTGCGTGATAATATGTAATTTTTTGAAGTGATAATTTATTGTGGTAAAAATGTCAAGCAGGGTGTTTTTGTCGTAATAATATATATAATAATATAATATATTAATAATAACATATAATATAATAATATAATATATATGTATATAATTTTTCTTAAAAAAAGTAAAATTCAAAAGTCTTCTACTGTCTTAGAAAAAATACCTCTTGTAACAAATATCTAATCGTACTCAGTGACGCACAGTAGGACTCAGTCAATTTACGTGAGGGATCATAGTTGAATACAGTACTAGGTTCAAGGGCACTACTCCCTCTCTTGTATATCTCCACTTAAATGCATCCCGAAACGGGCCATCTGGCAGCCGCGCTGGACCATCAGGGGAGCCAGACTAGTGCGCGACAGCCGTTATTGGGTTGCGGACTCATGGCAGCGGCTATACAGAAGGGGACATTGTGGCAAGTCTGGGCGCAGGTTCACTCCGCGCCATCGACCTGTGCCCGATTTTGTCTCCAGTCTTTTTGACTTTGTCCCCGGACTCAAGTTAGCGGAGGAGGAGGAGGAGGAGGAGGAGGAGGAGGAGGAGGACAGAGTGTAGTAAGCGCAGCGCAAGTCCGTTACTGCTGTAAAATGATTCATGCGAAAGCGTCCCATGATGCCGTGGGAGGTACGGCAGACATAGTCGGTAAACACGGTCGAACTGTCATCGGCGCAAATCCTCCGATCCTAGAAGGTTTAGAACGTGTTATTTGGCTCAGTTCTGGGCCCCAGCAGTCAGGGTTAACGTGCTTGTTGGCGTGCCGTGATAGCTCATTCATGGGTCTGGTCTCTTAGGACTTCCCCGGACGCTGCTTTTGCTGAAAAAATAAACCGCTTTTACTAGATCTGCTACACTTTTTTCCATGGTAGAGGGCGCTTGTCAAACGCACTACGGGATATACTCGCCTCAGTGTGCCTTGGGTCCCATTTCAAGTACCGCAGGCAGTCGCATAGCGAGCCCAAAGACACGACGGGGCAAGCATGCCCGCATCGCGAACGCGGGTTCGGAAGCCAGGAGTTGCGAATCTCCGTGGTTGGGTATGACTGGCTGGTGACTCCTACTAAGCAAGAAGTTGCCATTCCGGTCTGAGCTGTCTTCTTGGCATATCGTACTGCGCAAACTATTCTTCCTTTACTGCGTCATCAACGATCTGAAAATAATTTCCTATCCGCTGCTGCCTGATAGACGTCCTGGAGAGGACTTCATTCCTCAGAGAGGCAAAAAACCGGGCTGAATTTTACAAAAAAGAGTTCAATTAGACTAACGTTTTGGCTTAACATTAGGTCTAGGAGGAAAATCAGGCTGTGTCGAAGACAATCAAATTCCGCCTCTGATGATGGACGTAAATGTGGATTCGAAACTCCGCGCACATATATATCTTGTTCAAACGATTGCGTCTCCTGCTCTACTGCTGCCAGGATCTCGCCTCTTTGTTTCTATGGAGGAAAATTTTCCTTTTTGTCAGTCGGCTTGGGTTCACTGCCTTTTTTCTCTCCTGTTAACCTGCAAAGTTTTTACTGCAGGCTTCACTGCTGTGTGACGGGTTAGTGTGGTCTTGTTAATCAATCCCGTAGTGGAAATACTCTCGATCGCGTGCACAAACGCCAGATTCTGAATGATACCAAAACTTCGTTCTTTGTTGTTTTGCTTAACTTTACTTCCTTAAAGTTGGTCAAAACTAGAGCAATCAACCAAATTCAGCATTAATTACGTAAAAGCGATAGAGAAAGGATAAAGTACGATGTTTGAAGTAAGCCAAAACTAACCTGTCCTTGTAGAGACAAACCAGTATGGATTCGTCTGCGCATTTTGCCATGGCGCAACCCAGTTGATACATACCGGCCGAAATCATCTATAAAAACAAGTGCATAGACTGCGGCAGAATTGGAATGACGAGTATTATTGCTGCAGTTTTTTAAGCTAAAGATTGGTACCCATCAACGAAGTAGTAGCAAACGACTGTATGAACGATTTTATCGGGCATTATGCGGACTGAACCCGAAAAATACTTAATAAGTGTCTGCTGACTGTTTACACTTTGTAGAAATAGGGTGCTATTACGTCATATGCAACTCAGGACAGATGCTTTAAATAAACTTGGCATTAAACGAACAAGCCTTATATAACGGGCACTTAAGCGCTTCTAGCATCATCCTCCCTCCATGGGGAACTAAATACGAATCGTGGGAGCCGCCATGGGAAATTTGACTTTGCCCGAATAATGTGCTCAAAAGCGCTATTCTAACAGATGCGCGAAAAAGTGGAAAAAATAATGGAATGACTAAAGAACGAATACGGAGTGCTTGTATTTTTCTTGCTTCTCAGTTTGGCAGAAAAAAAGATATTATCAGTTGCCCGCTTTCCATCATTATACAATCATAAATTTTGCATTTTGAAGTCCAGGCTGTCATAGTTACGGGGAGATAATATCGACTTCTGTGACGTAATGGTTCTAAAGCGGCCTGTCAAAGATTTTTTAGTTCCTGGTAAAAACCAAGTTGCCTACCGCAATTTCCAGTGTTGAGAAAGTTTGTCAATTTTTGGATAAAAATAGTGTGTTTCAAGGATTCCGTAATGCACTTGATTGCCATAAAAGTTAACGTTTTCGGGTTCTTATTGTTATTTTTCAAAATTAAAAGACTAATATTTAGATGATTACCCGAATATATTCCTTACAGCTGCCATCACCGCAACCTCGAGAATACTGGAAATTGGCCCGCTGAGATCCCCATATATCGATGATCCCTAGCTGCACATCCTCTGGGCCGCGGATGCGAGAAGGGCTGACGAAGCTACTGAAACCGATATTCATCGCATCTGTGCTGTTCTTCATTTGTTCTTCCAAGCGCTCGGCATCAACGGGGCAGGTACTTAGCAAAGCTGCGGCTTTTGTTGCAAGCTCTGGAGACCAGACCTAAAAGAAAGACAGAAAACTGCTTTTGCATCCAAGCACCGTCAGTTGGGCAATATGTAAAAATCCTTGATATTTTTCCCGTTTGAAAAAGTCCTGTGTTATAACCTGGAAGAACTAGGCAACAACAGTCAAAATCAAAGTTATGTGGCAACGGTTTAGCATGCTGTAAGGGCTTTAAAGGCTTGGCAAAGCAACATGAACCACCCCGAACTACCGGTGACCTCGCGCTGAATCACAGAGGGATTAGGGTTAGGAGGGCTAGGACTAGAGTAAGAGTTAGTACACGGGAAAAGGTATCCCCTGAAGTTTAGCGCAGGGCCACATGTAATACAAGGGGAGTCAATATTCTCCTGGCTGACCCTTTTGGGCACTGAGGTTAGGAACGTGTTAGAGTTCTTATGATTGATGACGCTGTTCCAGCCTTGCTTGCTAGCTAAATTTCCCCCTTTCAGTTACTTTTCGACAACCTTCAACAGTTTGTGCTAGTAAATAGTCTTGATTAATTATTATTTCGGTAGGATGTTGCATGCAAACATTTCCAAAATGTGGGAAAATAGCTCACAGCCTTTATCATGTTCGAGGATTTGATTGCCTGCCGATATTGTTGATGCCTTCGAACAGCGCGACTGATATCCAATTGGAGAGGTTCTGACAGAGTGTTTTTGGCCAGTAGTGTTGTCGCAAGTAATGTTGTGAATAGAAACGTTCGATACATCTCGTTACCTGAAACAGTGTGGGCACAGCGTCTGTGAGACGGGCACAGCAGACTGCAAGGGAAGAAAACTTTTAAAAAAAATAACCAAAATTAAGAGCAAAGTGTGGCACAAACAGGCACTCACCATCTCGGAGCTGGAATCATTTAAACCTCGTTTACATAGCGTATAATAATAAGGACGACCGTAGAATACCATGAAAGAAGAGTCAGTCATTGTAGACGGAGATAAGGCACACCTGGTTGGGGCCTTGTCGAAACTCCAATTTGTGGAACTTAAGGCTCAAACCCGCATTCATTATTCATCGGACGTCTGCTCACACACTCCGATTAAAATGCAACTGCCTGGACGGACTTACAGTGAGCCCAACTGAGGTGCAAAAGGACGAGCGGTTCCCGTAAGTCGGTTGGTAAACGTGTTTTCAATAAGGCCGGCCTTTGCTTGCACCATTAGAAAATAACATCTTACTCGGGATCTCCTAATCCTCTTCATTTTAAACACCATTGTGGTATAAAGTATTTTAATGAAGATGCGATCCTGTTTTGGCCATCTATATGTATTTATGCATGGATGAATTTCATGGCAAACATCCAAGAAGGGGCGATCGAGATTGCCGAGAGTAACCAGTGCATTTTTAGGCTAATTACAGCAGCTCGAGAATAACCAGAAATAAAGATAGAAACCAAATTCCGGTGGTGTTTCATAGATGGCGGGCGAGACAACCGCGGAGCCGTACAGCCATAAAGAGATTTATTTAGGTAAGCCTCACACAGCAGATCACACGACATCACTGTGGGCCCACGACCCGCAGTCACTTGTTTGTTGCTGGCGTGTTTCAGAGGCATTTTACAGTGCCCCTCGGCATCAACACATACCGATGGGCAAAGTTTGAAAATTCTCCCGCCCCTCCGCACTTCTTACAATTCAATACAACGCCCGTCTTGAAATATACGAGAAAATCAACTTATCCTAATTACATCTTGACGTAGACCGTGAACAGTAAATGACCTTTTGCCGAACGTTTATCCCACTCTAGCTGCTTGCGGTCGACGCAATAAATATCAGCGCAAACGCCTAAGCACTTTTGTATACGTAATCTTAAGATAGGCAAGTTCAAAAGCACTCAAAAGCTAAGGAAATAGCCAAAATGTATGACATCTTTAAAAGGGTATTTGCATTTAATTACAGTGGGTTTTTGCGTCAGTATATAGATGAAATTCTCACTTCGCAGTAATACGCTTTGATAATAACAACGATGCGGAATGCCTGCCGTAGGGCTTCGAATTTCATTCATTGCGGTAGTGCATAAGATAATTTACGAAAAATAATATAAGTGATTAATATTAAATTAACCACTAATCTGAAATGATTCACCCACTCACATTGCTAACGGACTGACCGTTGATCATGAGCAAGAAATGTATTTTTAACCGTACAAAAATATTACTACTGGGGACGGATTTAAGATAATGTCAAACATTCAAACAAACGAAAACAGGTCTTGCAAGTAAGTAAAAAAGGAGTTACTACAGGTTTCAACTACAAAACATAGTACTGCTTGGTGCCGTGTCTACTTTATTTTTCCTAGAAACGTCTCAGAAAAAGCAAGTTTCTAAAACAATTTGATCTTTCAAGTATAGAATTTGGGGGCTAAAGCTTTCTTTCCTTCTGTGGTCGACCAAAGGTGTTTAGAGAAAAAAATAATGCCCAGAAAAACCCCCATCAATTTTCAGCGTCTCAGTTAAGCTAAATTAAGACTTTTACTGCCGCGACAACCAAATTACGTTCGCTAGGAAGCCTAGAGGCACATACAACAATTCCGCGTCTTGGCAGAAATTATTAAAAACAGGATGATTTCGCATTCCGGATAACTCGTAATTCGGCAAAAAGACGTGATCATGTCCGAACAGTGTGTGTATCTGCGATGAGAAGCTTAAAGGGGTTCAACTTAAGAATGGGACAAGTAAATGCTTTAACGTGTACGAAAAGTCTTGGCATGCGCCAACGGCAGACAAAAGCGTAAGGATGGAATGTTGCATATATTAGAAAATAGCAATCAGCAGTCTTATAATCACACCTACTTTTAATGCTTCTGAACTATATATCCCAGGCTGCGCGTGGCTGAAGGACACGCTTCCAACTGCGCAGGATTTTGCGTGTGATGCTTCTCTCGGCGCTTCAAGTAGCATTCTTTTTATTGGGTAGGAAGGTGGGCATCGTTGGCCAATCAGTTTGCTTTGGCCGCCGAATCATTACGCGATTGCTGACGCTACCTTGGAGTTGACCGCCAAAATACTATATGGCGTTCAGCAGCCGGTCAGATACTTGACTGTTGAGAGTTTTACCGAAGGGGAATAATATTCCTCAGGTATTAAACCGATTTCATACCAACAACTGATGCGTTCCTGATTGGGCTGCTTGAACTCGGTTAACAATGCAAACGTTTTTTCCAAAATTGTGCGTTAATTAGTGACAATGGGAACTGCAGGTGTCTTGTAAAACTGCATTTATTCTGCTGTTACCGGTGTATTAAGAACGTATCGGTACTTTTACTAAACACATACATTGAAACAAACATCCCTCAGTTCGATTTATAGTAAATGGTCCTGCAATCGATTTGTGCCCGAAAATTAGATCTGATCTTCCTAAAGGGAGAAACCGATGACGCAACATTATTCATGTCCCATTGTCTAAGGCAACTTACTATTCTTTTGCTGAGATATTGTTTTGATGCGCACTTAGAAGAAGCAGTTTGAAATCCACGGAAAATTTCCTTTGTTTTTATGCACTCTAATGCCAACAGTTGAACATAGCGAACAAGTAAATAAGCGGTCTGAGGGAATCACAGTACAGATACTTCCGAAATAGACAAAAATGCAGTTTCATTAGCAATCACTCCTAATTTAGACCTTACCTGCTGTTACAGAGACCGTCCGTCACGTTAACTCGTCGTCATCCTGCGGAGTGGCTAACTATTCCTTCAGCCGCTATATTCTCCCGTCAAGGAATTCAGAACCCACCTCTGAATACCTCACTGTAGTGGAATCGCAAGGCTGTACACCGTGCATTCATTTGAAAATGCATTTAATTTCATAAGTAGCTCAGATCACTTCGTACACCGTTTAAAGTAGACATCCTTGAAATACCTTCTGCTGCTGGCTCTAAAGTGACGAGCAATGATCCTTACAGGAAGGAGGTCGCGCGACAAGGATTTTCGTTCGATGTTTCTACCTTCACTTCTACAGATATCCGCCGTGTTCCCCATAGCAGGATAAAGGCAGGGACGGTTACAAGCATGCGAATGAGTTTACAGTGGTGGTGGGCTTGCGAAGCATCTGTCACACACTCTCGTTCCCCATCCTCCTGAGCCTGGTATCCAGACAGGATCAAGAAAACCGAAGGCGGGAGACGGCGCAGGTTGCTGGCACGGCGAAAACCAGCATCTTGGCGCATGGTACTACCCCAGCTGGGATCCCGCTGCGTGGGAGTGCTATGGAAGCTGCCCTAAGAAGGAGCCGTTGCAGCCTGACTCTCAACCCACGAGTCGGTCACTCCATACAAGCACATATTCTTCTGGCTCCGGGGACCGACTTATTTCGCCCCTTGACAGTCTTTCAAGCCACTACTTTTAGCGCGCTGTGTTAGATTCAAGCGTGTCAGATTGTTTATAGCGAAGAAAATGAGCTGCGTCATCGATCTCACTTTTTCTTCTCATTCCCAGACCCCACTCACTGTCCGAACCGGTCAGCAGACAGTTGCGGTGAGTGGGCGCAGTGGCTGAAAGAGTTAGAGTCCGTCTGCGCTCTCCACGTGAACAAGGTCTCCGTTGCAATTCAATAGGAAAACGATAATCTTTTTAGGAACAACGGAGTACTTTTCTGTAATTCTCGAATTCTAGGCACGGAGAGTTTAATTCCATAGCATATGCTATGCATTGCTGGTACGCAGAAAGACACCGATGTTCTTTTCATAATGCAAAAGGGCAATTCTTCTGAGAGCATCGCGATCTTGTAGCTTACAATTCATCGGCTTAGTCGACTCTTTTACGCAGCACCTTGCAGCACTTTTCTTTGGGAACTTCGTCCACAGACACGTTGTTATACCTCCCTCCTGCTATCACATGCTACGCTCACGCAGCCAATCGGCGAGGCCCAGTTCTCAGCCAAGGATGCACCCCATCATCCCGGCGCGCGAACACTGTTAGATGGAGTGGACCCGGCCCAATCTCTGACACTGTCCCCCTCACTTTTCGCATACAAAACTGCTCACTTTTTGAATGGGGTACCGACAATGACAAAATAGACTGAGATGACCATTTCCGGTGTCTTAACTTTGATTACTCAGTCAAACCAGCCCGGGGTTTGAAACACCTGGGATTCGAACTCGGGATCTTTGATTATTAAGTCAAATGTCCTACCAATCGGGCCTCGATCGTGCATATTAATTACGTTAGAATTGGGTTGACCGGTCGAGTGGCGGGACATGCACTATGCAAGATGCCAATTTAAAATATCGCTTAGTACATTATGAAAGTTACTAAAGGTTATGCGCCTATTCAGACACTATAACGACAGCACTTGAAGCTGGTAAGTTGCCTTTACAACAATGCATTTGGATTTATATTTTTTGATCGATTACCGGCATACAGCCTTCCTTTGGTGAGAGCTGCAGAGCACTGTTTAGAGCAGTGAATGAGGTTTCCGTGTTTGTAATTGTGGTCTTCATATTTTCGACTCTGCCATTGTACTAAAATGAACAGATGTAGCCACTTGCACAAAGATAGTTACGATATATTTCTTTCGTCTTTTATTTTATCCAACGTAGATAAGCCGATACACACAAATGCTTATGTTAAACAGACAAATTTTAGCTGAATTAACTCCTCTTTGTGACACAATTTGTGGTTGGCACGATATTTTAAAATAAGCGGTTCAATAGGGCAGCAAAAGTCTATGAAATGCCTGCGTGAAAAGGACTAAACTCACGCGTCTACTCTCATGAGATGGGGATTTTCCGACTATAAAGTACGCCCTAAATAGAAGGGGTGATATTAACTGCCAGCGTGAAGCCCGAATTACCCCTGTATAAAAAAATTCATAATTTACGTCTCAAAACGCTGGAAAACCACTGCTTTATGTTTTCCGATATATATTGGGTCACTTAAATGGTCCTTTGCTTACATACTTTGTAAAGGAAGTTTAGATCCCAGGAAATATGCAATAATATTATTGCTCTAAACAAAGACTTACTTGAAAGATGATGCTGTGCCTCGCAACGTGCGCTTGTGGTTTTACAAAAATGGCCGAATAATAGCAAGAGTATACGGTACTGGTAACATAACTATTCAGAAAGTTTTAAAGCAAGGTGCCTGGAAAATACGATTTTACGTTCAGTAAAGTCTACGATATGGCTTTGTGCAAAGTACAGAAAGGAATCCAGAGTGACCGATGGCCAAGCCATTTTCCTTGCGTTAGGGTGTAATAGGAGTTTTGGTCTAATTCGAGGACATACATATTTGTAAAATAATTGCCCCGCAAAATTATCGGTAGACGCAATCTTACTTAGTAAGTTAAAAATAAGCCGTAGTCACAGAAACATGTAGATGTTGACTTATGAGAGATGACTGATCGTACGAACGATGTCTAATTTGAAGTTGACGATCAAAACGCAAATGGGATGGATGTCCAACAGAACAGCATAACGCATTGCGGGCTCCTGTGTTTCACGACAACCAATGATAGGTCCCGTTTATGAGGTTTGCTTTTATCAAGTGGGAATAAAAATCGGTTTCGTTTTGAAAATGAATTATTACACAGGATTTATTAGATTACTACTCGTTTGATTTTCACTAATAACTTTTAACATATGACATTTATTTCTTTCCCAAAATATCAGAAAGGTGTTTGTTAAGATAGAATGCTAATTAAATCCCAGATTTGAGTTAACTAGAAAGCATACTAGACGTGCTGATACCCATGATTTTAATTATGATATTAGTGTTAATACGGCAGCGAATTCCCCCTGGAACACTCACTGCTCTCTTTGTCTAACTAAAGGAATGTATGCAAAGTGGTTTTCCCGCCTGAGAAGTAGGAGGTTTAGCCAGGAAAGATGAGTGGACGTATGAATAGCAAACGAGACTCGGTTTAAAGGGATTTGATGTGACTGTTGTGACTAACTACGCTTCATTAAATCTACGGAAAAAGGCCGAGCTTCTAACGTTAGTCATTTAGATACCGTACATGGATTGCGAAAGATTTGGAGTGTCACTTTCCAGAAAGCTGTTTCCACGCGAGTTGCATGAGAATAACAGAAAACGTGTCATTTACTGTGAGTCTTTGCTTAAATGACAGCTCCAGGATACAGGTTGTGAATAAAGTTATTACCGGAGACAAGAGATTGATTGATACTAGTCTGACAGGCGACAGGTTAACTTCCGTCACCGAGAGCATCCACCGTGAGCCAAACACCAGGATGGGCGCAGGAATTTCGACTTGCGCGTAAACTAAATTATAGTGATAACAGACTTACGTTGCATCTACTACACCCTCTCTTTTCTTATCCTCCTGGACTAAGTGTCATGAAAGAGTCAAGATGAGGGAAGGCGAGACCAGGCGCAGGCGACCGGCATGGCGGACGCCTAGGCGTGCCACCATGCGGCCCCTTCATTATATTTGTTAGGCAGCCCAGTGCCACGTGGCGCACCCTGATCTGGCCCCCATTTTGGTCCAGCGCAACGCCCCTGTAGCCCGCTGTAGAGGGTATAACCGGATATCTAAAACAAGTGCGTATTGCTTTCAACGCAGCCTTTTGAAGTGTGCCCTAAAGAGTAAACACGCATATGTAATACAAAGGAAAACAACCCCTTTTCGCCGTGATAATGTTCATCCTCTGGTTAGCTGAAAATGCTGCTTTCAGTTGATTGTCTTGCCCTTGCCGCATCGAATTATTGTTTGCTATGGAGTTTGCGAAGTTATTTTGAAGAACTGGGGTTGAAACCTAGAGTAAAGGCAGAAATTGACTTGCTTTATTGTCCTTCAAACAAAACCTATGAAAATGTATAAGCGAGTTAGCAGTAAGCTTACAAGAATGTTGAATGTGTGTGTGGGAAGGCTGAGATGTAGATTTTAAACTCGATATGTCTGAGAGCATTTTTTTGTATTTTTCAGGATAAATCAGGAGAAACTTTTGTTACAACTGGGAAGTATTCTCAGTTTCTTACTGTTATCGACCTATCGGCTGATAGCCGATAACCCAGTGGTTCGTTACTTAAATCCCAGGTAGCCGTAAAAGGACAAAAGCATAATAAGCGTAATTTCTGCCCACTGTTATAGGAAAAACCATGTGTACATTCGAACTTTACTCGCCTTGCAAGCATGTTTGTAACTGCGCGTGCGACATTTGTTTATTATAGGACTGTATTTTGGCCATTTTGGCGTAAAAGTTCATGTTTCTATTTTACTCAAATCCTTCCTTTTGGGGCGCGTTAACATCAAGTTTATTGTATATGGTTTATCACATGGAAACTCAACCGAAATTTCGCAGTGTTTTCGATTAGAAAAGATTACTTTACTGGAGTTGTGACATTGATCATCGTGCAGCCAAGCCCAGAATATTTCAGTCAGGCAAGAGCTCCGGCTTTTAAATGAACTTCAATCTGGTCATCTGCTGAAACCATGCTTGATAACATTGGATTGCTTAAGTAGCGTGAATTGCTTCCGTCGATTCGTGATGCCCTTACAAAATCAAATATATATTATAAGGAACGTACATAAAAATATTCTTTCTTGCATTAATTTGGTATCAAAGTGCGTTATGACATAGAACACACTTAAGGACAAGGTGGCTTTCCGTTTTCCGAAACATTTCCAATTATCGAAGTATTCCGAACGCGATCAGCATTTGCACTTACGGTTAAGATTTCGAAATTGAGCGATAAATACTTTCCATGTAATAAAAATCATACCTCTCTCTGTGCTATGAAGGTGATGTCCCGTAGGTCTCACGATATTTTGCTTTGAATGTAAACCGTGTTGGATACTACAAATAAAGCATCAATAAATGGACAGTCACGGGGCTGCAGAAACAGGCACCTCGCAGTCTTAGAAGACTCCATAATTAAAAACTATATAAAACCGAAAGATGTCATTTCTGCAAATATGAAATTTAAAGAAAGCATGAGTTTAAATCAAATGCGTATAAGAAAGCCCATTTTGTACATATTTTCGATAATGCGTTTTCGAACTTGTAAGAACATCAAAAATTAGCGAAAAAACGCACATTACGTAAGCTGTCATTTTATACTAAGTATAATGTTTGTAGGCGGCTGTAAAGAAGCGCGTTTAAAAGCCGGCGTCTTGGTTTGACTAAAATATTGAAATTATGTTGCACGCTGATCACTATTGCAAATCTATTTAGGTAATACTTCCTATCCGAAAACAAATATCAGTATT